CAAGAAGAAATGCCAGGGATTTAGCTATTGCTAGATAAATTTCAAGTTTCTTTGGCTCATGGTGGTTGGTAGAGCTGTGTCATTCTCTAGATATATTTCTTTATGGCTTGGTATATTCCATGTGCTTTCCTCCACCTAACAACATCAAAGCAAATGATATCCCTGCACATGCTATTGATTACATTTCTATATGTGGTTACCTTTGTCCTAGTTGGATTTTGAAGACAAGTCTTGTGCGTTTTGGCTGACTTGCACAGCTACAGAGGAACTAGAAGTAGAATCTTCAGAAGGGAGGTGGACAGGCAGCTCTAAAGCAAGAAATGGACTACACTCCCCTCTGAGGCCACCTGGGGGTTGCCCCTTCTCAACAATCTTCCATTTCAGGTTCCAATCCAAAGAAGGCAGGGAGGGACTGATGGACAGAAAAGGTACTGGCCATAAAGTGAATTCGTGCCAAGCCTACAGCTCCCTAAAAGTGGACGAGGGGGACTCTTGTGGCTGGAAGGTCTTGGGAAGTCGTAGCCCAAATCCCAAGTGGGACAGATCCAGAAAACAGAGAGGAAGAGGGAAAGAAGGAGAAGGACAAAGAGAGACAAAAAGAGAGAGGGGACACAGGGAAGTGTTTGTAAAAATCTACTCTACTTAGAAGAACTGGGACAAAGATTGAAGAATTTCAGCTTCTCTCCAGGAGCCTGGTCTTCCACCAACTGATATTTCTATTTGAGATGCAATAACAGCATCTTAGCTTCATAATTCACACACTGTAGACAGTGTAATTTACAAACAATAGGAATTTCTTTCTCTTAGTTTTGGAGGCTGGGAAGTGCAAGAGCAAGGTGCTGGCAGATGTCTGATTATTGCCCAGTAAATGATACCTTGTTACCTCATTCCTCATAGGACAAAAGGAGTCAACAGGGTGGGGGACCCCCTCCCCTCCCCTTCCTTTAAAAGATACCTGGTCCTTCATGACTGATCTAAAACCTCCTAAATTTTCCATCCTTTCATCCTAATTAAGTTTCAAGTTAAGAATCAGGGGTGGGGATACACTTTTAGACCACTTTTAGCCACTGGGCTATCAGACAACAGTTTTCTACTTTGATTAGGGAGGGACTTCCGATCAGTTCTCTAGTTGCACACCTGTCTGTTCACTATCTGTTCAATTTCCTCTCTGAACCTGGAAGTCATATCTGTTACTTCTCCTGGCGTGCCTTTCCCTGGCTGACCAACACAGAGGTGGTCCACCAATGACAGTGCTCCATCTCCTCTCATACTGCATGATGTTTTCATGTTGAAGCACTGGCATACCTCTGCTTCTCCTAAGGGGGGTCACTTTAGGGGTGTTTGGTTTCTATCCAGCTCAATAGAAAAATCCACTAACTCAGGAGGTTTTTGTGTCTGTTGTTGTGGAGTCTTGTGGTGAGCAAGCACCTCACTGAACTGTCAGCACATCCTCCAGCTTCTTCCAGTGAGCCTGCATCTGAGCCTTCAGCATCCCTCCCTCCAGCCCCAGATCCGCCCAGAGCCGGCAAGCTTTCATTATTATGTACTCAAATGGAAATAGTGTTCTGCAAGCTTTCATTATTATGCACTCAAATGGAAAGTTTTCTGCAAGCTTTCATTATTATGTACTCAAATGGAAACAGTTTTTTTAAATCAAAGAGATTAAACTGCAGCAGTTGGAAGTGTGTGCTGGGATTTCTGCATGTTTACCTATGCCAGGGCTATGGAAAGGTTCTAAATGGGGGATTCATGGTTTCCTTGTGGACAGGGGTGGTCCTGCACCCTCTTTTTCCTCTGGGACCAAGCTTTGCAGATCTCGGCTCTGTATACCAAAGACCTGTTGGGAAGCATCTGTATCTTCTCCAGCAGCAGCTGTCAGGTTTGTTTATTTCCTGGAAAGTTTGAGAACAAAGAAAACCTTAATGCAAAGAAAAAATATATATAGAAAATTTTCTAACTTACTAAAAGGGTTGTTTTAAATCTGTTTCTATTTTTTAAGTAGACACAGGCCCCTAAGGATGTTTGTCAATGAGACACACTAAGGCAGGTTTTGAAGATATTTCGTTTGTTCACTAGGAAAATACAGTTCATATACAATAAGACCACTTTTTCAAAATGCAAATGAATCATTTTGGAAATGCATCAATTGGATGGCATAGGGCAAAGAAAGTTTCACACCTGAATAATGAAGAAACAACCCCCCAAAATTTAATACATTCCACTCATAAAAAATTTAGAAATCATATAGAAATCTAATAACCTTTGAATATCATTGCAGTCAATATTTTGTTTTGCTTAAGTTTACTCTTATTCATGATATATTTTGGGGAGTCAGTCATGGGGGCTGAACTCTGGGCCTGGGCACTGTCCCTCAGCTCTTCAGCTCAAGGCTAGCACCCTACCACTTGAGCCACAGTGCCACTTCCAGCTTTTTTTCTGCTTATGTGGTGCTGAGGAATAGAACTCAGGGCCTCATGGATGCACGGCAAGCACTCTACCACTGAGCCAACTTCACAGCCCTATTCATGATATTTTGAGTGAAGAATAACATGTTTTTGAGCTAACTCTCTGCTTTAGGAACTGCCCTATACATTCTTCCTTCATAAGACCAGAGGTTTGATACTCCGGTACTCTTTGTGGCTATCTAGAATACTGGGTATTAGTAGCTTTATAGTAATGCCCACAGTAACACATATACATAATGTGGACATACATAAATTAACATAATGCACTAACATCCATGTGACTCAGTGAATATAATGCTCACTGATAGATTATATTCTTTGGCTCAACCTCAAGCTCTTCCACATTGCTTTCCAGACTTGTTCCTGCCTTCCCAAGTTTCTCATATTCCCTACAACTCTGTCTTTGTCCTAAGGAAACTCCTGAAACCCAGAACAGTATTAGCTTCCACCTCTAGCACTGTCTAGGTAGTAGCCTGTAGATCATGTGAACAGAAGAACTGGTTGGAATCCAGTTTCAAGAAGAGACTTGAAAGGTGATCAAAGCCGGCCTCAAAGATTTTGAATAACATTTTAAATAAGATCGGCTTTAATTCAAATGTCAAGTTTACAGAATAAAACTCTGTTATTAGGCACATATCTCTGACCCCCGTTTTGCTATCTCTTTATGCCTTCAGTCACATGGTTTCCAGTGGCTCGATGTTTTACAGAAACTTATTCCCCCATCTAAAATGGAGAGCCACTGTGCTTTACAATGTTCTCTGTTGAACATTCCTGAAGATTCTCCCTCTGATTTTCATTACTTTCGAGCAAAAGCTCAAGTGTGAAGGACAAAAGGCCATTGTAGACTAGGTTTAACATCATCTTCTTTGTTAACATTGCCACATAAGGAGGAAGTCTCCTCAGTCTTCTGGTTTTAGCAAGGCCCTCTTCTAAGGGGACCCCCTGAGGAAAATGCCAGTGCTTCCCTCACTCCTTTTCTTAGTGGTGTCAGGAACCTTTATCTTCCTATGACTCTATTCTGTATTCTGCCCTCCTTCCCTCCCTCCCCTCATTTTAGTTTTATTTAATGTTGAATGTATGCAGGTCACTTGCAAGTCTCATATGGAGTATGGAGTTAGGTTTTAGTTTGTGACATAATTTGAAAATGCTTTAGTGAGCTAAGCCACTTTATTGTGGATCTATTTGTTACACTTTCAAGATAGAGCACAGACAAGTGTTGGATGCATCATTTGAAGAATTTGAAGCTACTCTATTTTACATGAGTAATGGGAAGGTTAATTCAAAATAGCCAGGTGAAGGTATCTTACATTTCCAGTTTTATACTGGAACTATAATTTTGTTCTCTCCTTTTATATGCATGATTAAAACAGTGTTGTATAGATATGTCAGTGTGCCCTGAACATTGATGAAAAATGAAAATAAAATTGAATTTTTGCTTAAATTGAGAGTAATTGTTATGTAATATTTATATCTTAGATAATAAGAAAGCAAAGCAAAGCAGCACAATTTCCAAGAAGAGTCACTAAATGGCTCCTGGCTCTAGGTTGATTCATTTTGTTGTTTCACGTATTTCTAGATTAAGAAACCCCTTATGGATTCCACAATAGACTGAGCCCTGCTTAAGTCTCTCCTAATGCAAACATGATAAGAAGCACTATCTCTCACTTCAGAAATTCATTGGCTGTTCTGGACCATGAGGGAATTCTTTTCACATGTACAATTAGTTACAATCTTGTGGCTTTTGTGAAAAAAAGAATTACTAAAGTCATTTACTGTCAGCACAGCTGTGGGAACTTGCAGGTGGTATCTAGTTTGGGTGGCAGTGACAGCATTGATGTCCCTAGCAATTGAGAACTTTCAGAAAGATTCTGGAGGGTGCAATGAGCCACTTGCCTTATGCTTCATGAAAGTTATTAGACATCCCAAGAGAGCTGGGGAGGTGGCTAAGTGGTAGGGTGCTTGCCTCACATACACGAGGCCCTGGTTTTGATTCCTTAGCATCACATAAACAGAAAAAGCTGGAAGTGGTGCTGTGGCTCAAGTGGTAGAGCGCTATCCTTGAGCTGAAGAGCTGTGGGCTCCAGGCCCAGAGTTCAGGCCCCATGACCAACAAAAAAAGAAAGAAAGAAAGAAAGAAAGAGAGAGAGGGAGGAAGGGAGGGAGGGAGGGAGGGAGGAAGGAAAGGAGGGAGGGAGGGAGGGAGGGAGGGAGGAAGGAAAGAAGAAATCCCAAGAACATTTTATGTCTGCTCCATGATTTCACTTTACCTGGGATATATCAGTAAGTTAGGCTCTATGCATTCATTTGCTAGATTCTACCACATAAACTAAATCTTTGACTTCCTTAGGGAACTTATTTTTACATTGTCAAATTTATTTGATGACAGAATATACTACAAAGTATCAAAAATACAGGTTTTTTACTAGTATGCTTTTTATTACATGGAGATGGAATAACACATTTGTGTTTTTACCAGAATTGATATCATTCAATACTTTTGCCACAGTATAAATGGCTTTCCACAGAATTTTTTTATTCCTATGCAGATTTATGAATGAAAAAGCTCACAATTCTTTTTAACCATTTCAGATTTACATTTATCCAAATATTCCTGTTCAAGATGCTTTGGAGAATGGTTTTGTAAAAAATACAGAATCAGCTATGTATTTCAAATGTGTAGTACTCCCATTGGCCAAGATCTCCCTTATATTGGCATCACAAAGACATTATGCACTTATTTGTGGTTAAAAGTGTTGTCTCAATAGTAGTTATTGGTTACATGGTAACTCATGAAATCCCATTTATAGAATTGACAACACAACAGAAAGCAACATAATGTCCTATAAGTATTAAAGAAAAACAAGTTTACAAATAATGAGACTGTAGTTCCTAACTCTAAAATAGTTAACGATATCAAATGAAAGTAACGTCAATTAACAAAGAAAAAGTAAACTGCTAGTGCCCAGCATTCAGTCTTCCATATCATTCAGTTGAGTTATCATTTGATACACCAAAAAAAAAGAGAAAAGATTAAAAACAGCATTAATTTTGTTGGGAAGTATGAAATAATTTTCTGTACTATTTGAAATATATTTCGTTTATAAATAAATAAAATGGGTGTTTATCTTAAAATTTAATCATTCTTGTTAAAAAATAAAACTAATGTTAACCTTTAAAAGAAAAACACATATATTTATAACAACATGTTTGGAAAACTGAATCACATTTTTTTTTCTGAATCACATTTTTTGTTGACAGCATTATGCTTTGCTCTTGGTTGAATCATCTTTGTTTCTTCCTTTTGCATCCCAGTTATAAACCCTGGCCATATTGACTTCGGTAGTAGTAAACTGATCTCGAAGAAAGTCAATGTCTTCTTCAAGAGAATCAAGATTCTTTGTAGCAGTAGATACATTCTTTTCCAACAATGCCTGAGCTTCATCAATGTCATATTCAAGCATTACATTAGCCCCCAACCACAGACACACTTTATCAGTAGGAAGAACCGAAGCTTTGCAATACAGGCTATCTGCCAATAAAAATCTGGTCTCCATTGAATCGGGGGACTCTTTTTTCTTCTGCATGTATTTTAGAATTTCTAAAGTCTGCTTAATTTCAGGAATCTGACTTTTCAGTCTCCTTTTCTTTTGAGCAAGGTTGAGTTCCATAAATTTATACTTCTGATATTGTTCATCCAGCTTCTTCAGTACTGTATCTGCAGTCTCATTGCCAGGCTGTTTCATGAAGGAATCTACATCTTCCACAAACACTGCTTCAGGAATTCCCAAGTGAAGCCGCTGCCTGGTCCCCAACGCCACTTCAACAGCAGCACCTTCCTTAGCAGCCGCCATCTTGAGAAAGCCCAAAAATAAGTTTTGGGGACAGTCTGCCTGGATTAGAATTCTGATTGTGCTCCTTATTAACTGTAGCACTGCGCAAGAGACATTACTCTTCTACATGGAGATGTTCGTCTGTGAAATGGAGAGAATAGTAGATTTACCACATAGGGCTTTTATTAGAACCCACTGAAGAAAAGTTAGCAATGGTGGCTCTTGCCAATCTTCCCAGATGCTAAGGAGATTCAGGCAGAAAGACTGCTTGGCCCTAGGAGTTTGAGGTCAGCCTGGGAAACCTGAAAAATAAAATAAATGGAAGTATTTCATATGAAGACTCTTCTCAGTAAATAGCAAGTTTCTTACTCTTTCATTATTTCAGTTTCCAGTCTATAATATAGAGATGATGCTGGAGGAGTGAGTTAACACATATAAACATTTATGTGGACTACCTGGTACATGTAAGCACTCAGTAATTATAAGCTATTGCTTTTCTTTTGGGTCTTATCCTGAGGAAATTGGACCAAACCACTAGACAAGTTCTCGGTGTTTATGTCATGAAACTACAACAGGCAGCCCTTAGAACTGTGAGGGGAAAATGGTCAGACTACATTCTGGTATAAAACAGATGCTTGATTCCTTGACAACTCTTACCTAAAATGTGTCCAAGGAAGTGGTGCTGTGGCTCAAGTGGTAGAGCACTTGCTTTGAGCACAGAAAGGCTCAAGGAGAGTGCCCAGACCCTGAGTTCAAACTCCAGGACTGGCAAAAAAAGAAAAAGATGGCCATTAAAATGTGTCCAAATCAGTTGTCCAAGAGCTAGGATCCTAGTAACAATCAACAATGCTTCTTTTGCCTTCACTAAAGGCAAAAGAGAAAATCTTGGTCACTCAAGGTTGCAGTGCTTGTACTTCAGCTCAGACCCTCTCCTGATAGTCTTCCAGTCTGTGAGTGCGCAGAGGCTCCTAAACTATCTGGTCTCTCTCATGTAACAGGAATAAGAAACTCTGAACCATGAGGATCTTCTTTCCACAAAGAGGTCCCACCACTTTCCTCAGAGCTTAGAGAGGAATCCACCAAAAAAAAATGCTGGACTGCTGATTGGGAATCCATTTATCTCAGTGAGTTGACTCAACTGGAAAGGAAGGCAACTTCCTAGGGAATCCTAAGAAGCCACAGTCCTCTTTCCTGGACACAGCCTTTCCCCCAGCAAATTCTTTGGGCAAAGGTTTTCCAGTGTAACCCTAGAAATGAGACCACATTTATAAACATCTGCTGTCTCTAGATTCCTAAAGAGAAGAATTACTTTTAATCTATGTCCCTCCCCAGCCACTCAGCCACTCCAAAAAGCAACCTAATAATACATTACATACACTTTCAACACAAATTATTTCATAGGAATTTGCTGGTAATACAGAACTGTATATGACTACTTGCTAATGAAATACACGAATGCCAAAGGACAAGATTTTTTCATAAACAAATTGTCATAAAATGAACACTTTCAGCTTTTAAAAATTGTGGTCAAATTAAAAATGCATGACATAAATACCATCATTTTAGTCACTTTCAATGTATGCTTTTCTTTCTTAAGTATAAAATGTTCGTGTTACACTATCTCTGTTGGTGTTAACACAGACTTCTAAGAAACTCATGCTACTTGGTTAGCAAGGGTTAATATAATGTACTTTAAGCAAAAATTCTACGGATAACAGTAAAATAGCATGAAATGGTCTTTTCTGGTTCATTTGAGAATTACTATAGAAAATCTAAAGAGCCTGGCCCATTGGTGCAAAAGTGGACATTCACTGAGTAGGTTTTTTAAACATATTTTAAGGGCTTGTAATGCTTTATTAAATGGAACCCACCCAGCTGTAATGAATTCCATTAAGAAGCATACACAGAAGTATGGTTTCTTATGTCATTCTCCTTTAGATGTGCTTGAGTTACTCCTGAACTACTGCCAAGTACCTTTCCAGCTCATGTTGTTACCCTTTTCTTTTCCTAGTTCATAGATGTGGACAATTTCCTTACTAATCCACAGACCCTCAATCTAATGATTGAAGAAAACAAAACCATCGTGGCCCCCATGCTGGAATCCCGGGCCTAGACTCTAACTTCTGGTGCGGAGTCACACCCCAGACAAGTCTTCTGTTCATGAATGATAGCGCAGAGATCTCACAAGGCAGCAACTAGTGAACAGCACTAGAACTTCACATTTTTCTTGCTTCCCCCTTGAATCATACAAGCTAGGGGGTTATTAGAGCAAGCATTCTCAGGAAAGGCAGTAGATCCAAGTCTATTGCCATAGCCCATGGACTCTTCTGCATTCATTAATTATCAGAAAAAAAAGATTCTAAAGAGTTTAGCCTAGAAAGATTCAAATAAGAGTGTACATGGAGTGTACAGCAAGATTGTGGGGTTCCCTGGTCTCATTCCTTTACTTCCTGCCTGCAACCCCCCCACCACACACACACACAATTTAGTGGCTTAAAAAAACTCTCTTTTTTACCATTACAAGCTTAACCTAAGAACCCAGTAGAAAAACTTAGACAGTTTTAGAACTTAGAACTTACATTTTTGTAAAACAACCAAAAAGACCTTTGCCCCATCACTGTAACAATATCACAGATAGAAGCTTGTATGTTTTCAACAATTACATTACTATCAAGTGACTGTATTGAAGCTCACTTTCTCTCACTTAACATTTGCTTGCAACTTTTAATGGCAATCTCAGCTAATACATGTTCTTCTGTATTTGCTATTATTTCCTTGGATGGCTTCTTAGAAGTAGAATTACTGAGTCAAAAAGAATAAATGTTTTGATGATTTTTGACAAGCTACTTTCCTTAGGTTCTAATGTCTAAAATTGACACAATAGCTTGTTTTTCCAAAATTCACATTAAAATTCTAAAGCAAGCTTAGATTTCCATCATTTCTCTATTCCATAATAAAAATCTCCCAAGTCTAGAGGCCTGTACCTCCAATGTTGATGATTCATTATTTTTTTATTCTTTAATGAATTAGAGAGATAAACTGATTGCTATAATAAATATTAATCTGATACAAAGATGTAGTAAGGGAGAAAATGTATTCTCATGGCCAGAGGGTTTCCTGTTGTGGAGAAGGACCTTCACTGATAGCATTTGCCATTTGTATGATGTCAGTACTTCCATTACGCAACTTAAATGAGGGAAAGGTTAACTAAATTGCAGCATAGCAATTTGATGATAAACTGCAAAACAAGCAGGACCCATAATGCCTGTAATCTATAATGCCAGGATCTGTAATCATGCCTGTAATCCATCATTTAGGAATTTAGGAGGCTGAGACAAAAGGATCTGGAGTTTGAAACTAGCTTAGACTCTATAGTGAGACCATATCTAAATAAACAAACAAGGAAAAGCTAGGGTATTATTAGAATGAAGAGAGGTAACACACCATTTTGAATATTTCAAGCTATAATATGTTGAATAATTACAAATTTTCCTAAAATTGATCATTGGCTCCACTAAACCATAGTTCTGGCATTCCTCCTTTGTTAAATGATTTCCCTTGCTCTGAGAGATTTTGAGTGATTTTTCTTATCCATATGTCTCAGGATGGTAGCATGTTTACATTGATAAAATCCGTTCAGTTCCTTGGCAGAAAACATTATAGCAACTCTGTTTAAACTCTATTAATAATCTTCACGTGTTACATAGGACAATTTCTTAAGCATTGTTCTTGATGAGCTATGCTTTGCCACTGGCAAGGGTGGGGGAAGGTGATCTGAGTCTCTGTTATTGTATTCTCCACTTTAATTATTAAACACATGTAGGAGGAAGGTGCTCACTAATTTTGCACACAAGTCAATTCTGCACAACTCGAGAATGTTACAATCTTCCTCCATATATTATTGGCTTTCTATCATTTTACTTAGGCTTCTAACAGAACACAAATGGCCAATGACTTCATAGGCTTAAGGCCAGCCCTGGTTTTCAGATGAGCATGGTTCTGGCTGGCCAACAAACAGGAATTACTACCCATAATTGAATTTGTGTGGAAAATTAGACACAACCAATATCTTTAAGACCTCTCTCTGGGGAGGCATTTTTGCTCTCTTTTTCCTCATTTCCTCCTTAGCATCCTTCCTCCCAGGATAATCAATGAATCATCATTGCCATAAAACCTCCACGTTGCTCATTATGAGAATATTGCTCTAGTCTAGTACTTTCTACTTGACATGAATTTTCAGTCCTCTGAGGAATCAATGTTTCCTTCTTTATCCATTAAACAATTTTCATAGACTGAAATGTTACACGGGCAAAAATGAATAGAAAATGATTCTGATGACCCCAAGGCTCTGAGTGGTAGCTTATGGAATGGTCCGTGTTATGGTTAGCCAACTAGAACACTCTTACACACTGAAGTAGAAGAGTCTAAGCTGTCTGAGATGTGGTGCTGACTCACGGCAGGAAATGCCACCATAAAGGAGTATGAGTGGTTGAAGAATGTGTAAGGACTCACATTTCCAACAAGAGTTTTGTCCTTCCCTACTGCTGAGCTTGCAAAACTTCACATTAGCGCCACCTTGTAAATCTTCCACATACTTTCAGGCATGTTTTGCTGAAATATATCTTTTGCCTTTTCTGGAATGGATCTGTGCTTTGGTTATATTGAGTTCTAATCAGTGCCACTGGAGTGTAAGTTCCCCAACCAAACTCTACATTCTGTGAGAACTAAAACTAGGACATCTTACTTAGGAACTCCACATTTACCACCATGCTTGAGTTGTAGCAGGTACCCAGTGGGTATTTGTTGTATGAATGATTAAGTTTGGAGAGAAAATAATGGTCATTCTACCGTTGTGGAAAGCCAGGATGGGTTTGCCTATGTACTTGTGCAGAGAAGAAGTTTCAAAATGTGAATCCCCCTATAAAATGTGGAGCAGGTCACACCTCCACTAACATATAAAACAAATAACTGCATTGAAAGGAAACTTTAACTTTTATAGCTAAGTAGTGCAATGCTGTAACTAATAGTATTAGCCATAGTGTAATGTAGTCATTTTAATGTGTGGAGGCTTTCTTGATACTAGGCCTTGTTCTAAGTATTTTATAGCTTTACCTCACAAATTTTTTTTTGTTTTTTTTTGGGGGGGTCTGGTTGTGAGGCCTGAACTCTGGGCCTGGGCACTGTCTCTCAGCTCTTCAGCTCAAGGCTAGTGCTCTACCACTTGAGCCACAGCACCACTTCCGGCTTCTTTTTGTTTATGTGGTGCCGAAGAATCGAACCCAGGGCCTCATGCATGCAAGGC